AACATAGTCACTGCACTAAATTAATTGACCCATAAGTGTGTGTTATTTTGAGCTTTCTTGTCTCTGGAGCATCTTTGGTGGGAAAATAAATGCACTAATGCCATCTCCATTTATATTAACAAATTGCTAAGCTTTCCTCTCACCACTTAGGATAACTATAGAAAAGCAATCATGCATACAATTATAATTATATTATTTAATGTAATACAATTATTTAGGTTTGACTGGACCTTAAGTAAATTGTTATACAGTAGTTTGTTTAAAATTGTTAACTTTATTTATTCTCCCTTGTTAAGTTTATGAAAAGTTAATAGCCTCATGAGAGTTGGCTTTCACTTTTAAAGGTACTTTACTAGACTACTGCCACCTAGTCTGTATTAGCTATAAAGACAACACTTTAAGAGACTCCAGTTCTGTTAGCAGACCTTTGAAGTTGTTTGGGTTTAGGTTTCACTTCCAAGATCCCTTCCAGAATCCTAGGTCTGACTCTGTCTTGACCCTATTTTTATTTGAGCCCATTGAAGGGGGCTTTATGGAGCTTCTGCCCACTTGACTTTAGTGGATTTAAGAGCCAGAGCAACATTATCTAGTACAAGTTTAAATTCTATTTTTTAAATAGAGCAAAATTTGGCTGAAATTTACTTATTGCAGAAAAATGTTTCTAAAATGTGCAATGTTACAGAACCAGGTATTGTCTGTTACAACTGTTGCAGTGACATTCTGAACTATGCTACAAATAAAAGTGTTTAAGAGAAGAAAATTTATACATTAAGGCTACGTCTACACTGGCACCCTTTTCTGGAAATGCTTAAAACGGAACAGTTTTCCATTATAAGTATTTCCGGAAAAAGCGCATCTACATTGGCAGGATGCTTTTCCGGAAAAGCGTCCATAGCCAATGTAGACGCGCTTTTCTGCAAAAAAGCCCCGATCGTCATTTTCGCGAACGGGTCTTTTTTGCGGAAAAGACTACTGTGCTGTCTACACTGGCCCTTTTCCAGAACAGTTTTTCTGGAAAAGGACTTTTGCCCGAACGGGAGCAGCATAGTTTTTCTGGAAAAGAACTGACAATTTTACAGTAGATCGTCATTGCTTTTCCAGAAAAGCAAGCAGCCAGTGTAGGCAGCTGGCAAGTTATTCCGGAAAAGCGGCTGCTTTTCCGGAATAAGTGACCCGTTGTAGACACAGCCTAAGTGTAGCTTTAAAAAGTTCCGCCACTTGGGTCATTGAAAAAAAAATTTACTGAACGAATATTTATTTTCTTGTAATTTAGGGAGCGTAAAGGAGATCTGGTTGGAATTTCAGATTTCTTCATTCCAGCAAAGAAGATTTAAGAGAAATATAACAAGGACTTGCTGAAAGTACATACTACCAATTCAGAGCAGAACTTTAATAAAGTCTCAAGATGTTTAACATTAGCAGTCACAACAAAATAAAGACTTTGATATACCAGTATACATAATTTGCAGTATGATCTTTATTTATGAAAGTTGAATAAATCTTAGGATTTATTTGTTTTCATAGATGTGTAATTTTAGCTTTAGATTAGAAACTTTTAATAGAGGTTAATGGTTAAGGAATTTTTTGGAAATATTGTGTAACTTCATGTGAAGTAAAAAATTGTTTTTGATAGAGATATTGGCCTTCATAAATTAATCAAGATTCTTCTATCTGAAGGCCATATTTAAAGAACTTCAAGGAACTATGCTATTTATTTGTATTGTATGTGCTTATATGGAACTTATGCTTAGTAGATCTACCTAAATAAAGAAATCAGTTGTCCCATTTTTTTCCTAGTGTCCCGAAAACTTCTTTTGGCACCTAAAATATCTTGTTCTTCATGCAGTTGTCCATGTATATTCCACTTGTGGTTCACATGTGCCCCATTTTGCACAGTAATGACAATTGGGCCATGACTGCACAAATGTACATACAGTAGAGTTCCGATTATCCGACCTGAACGGGACCAAGGGGTGGTCGGATTAACAAAAATGTCGGATAAAACGGAAACTGGTATAAAATCAGGTTTATTACTTATTATTCTACAGAACAAGTAACATAATAACTAACATAATAGAGTACAGAACATTTAATATGCAGTATGGCAAAACACTAAAGTTATTGTTTAAAAAAATTAGTGATTGAAGTTTGTTTCCCAGCTTTGTTTCTCTTCCTTGCAGCAAGGTCGCGCCAGCATCTCAATAACATAACATCACTAGCAGTTGCCTCCCCTTGTTATTCAACGTAAGCCAGTGCCACCTCAAGAGCCTTGACCCCTTCACTATGACTAATTCTTTCCGTTTTGTCATTGTCATTTGTATCTTCATCATCTTCATTGTCATCCCAATTCACCAGAGCTATTATGTCAGTCAGTCCTTGTTGCTCGCCTTTCTCCATCCAGTCTTGTATATCATCATCATTCACCTTCTCACAGCCTGGAATTTGTTGTAACAAAGGTAGCAGGTTATCACAATTTTCTTGCACCATTTCTTGTGTGTTTTCGTCTTTCGAAACTGCCAGAGTTTGTGGTTCAGTCTCTTCCCATGATTGTGAGAGCCAATAAATAACATCTTTTATGTTCACTGTCCTTATCTTGTCTAGCATACCATTTCCATCGCCTATCACCTCAATGAGCGTAGTTAAAAGATATTTTTTCTTTAACACTTCAAGCACACCCTGGTCCATAGGCTGACACAACGAAGTGATATTAGGAGGAAGAAAAATCACTCTAATGTCCCCACTGATCAGTTCATCCTCATGAGGATGAGATGGCGCACTATGAATGACAAGGACTGCTTTCCTTGGTAGGTTTAGCGAATTCAAAAATTGTTCTACTGACGGAAGAAATTAATTGAAAAACCTGCCTCAGAAAATTGCTGAATCCATCCATGCATTCCTCTGATTCTTGTACGAAACTGGTAGAGCAGTAGGTGCTATGTTTTTGAAAGCTCGTGGGTTTTTTGCCTTTCCAATAAATGTGAGTCTTAGTTTGTGGTTGCCAGTAGCATTACTACAGACTAGAATCGTCACTCTTTCTTTACTTCGTTTATACCCAGGAGCTGAAGCTTCAGCCCAGGAAGCTAAAATTTTTGAAGGCAGCATTTTATAGTTTAAGCGTCTCATCGCAGTTATACATCTGCTCACACGATAATCCTTCATTTTTGATAAGACAATGAAAACGTGCTTTAAATTTCAGAAACCCTTCCTGATTTACCAATAATTTTTCACCATATATACTGAGCTGCCTTAACCCGTATCTTTTTTTCCAGTGATCAAACCAGCCTACACTAGCCATGAAATCAGGTTCCCCTTCATTAAATTCCTTTTGGAAACTCAGAGCTTTCTCTTGCAGAATCGGGCCTGTGATAGGCATGCCCTTATCCCTTTGCTGTGTGAACCATAAAAACAAAGCTTCACTCACTTTTTCATATTCACATTTTTTCATTGTTTTTCTGTCCTTCAGTCCTGCACTTGAGGGTTGATCAGAGCACCACTTTTCTAACTCACTTCTTTTCCTTTTCCAGTCACCAACTGTAACTCGCCCCACACTGAGTTCAGATGCAATTTTTAGCATGGACTCACCTTTGTCTATTCTCTTTAACGCTTCAAGTTTTTGTTCAATGGAAAGAACCACTTTTTTCTCTTTTCATATGCCATGTTACTTAAACAAGAAAATTATACAGTACTACGGTAAGGGGAACACACAATTGGAAAAATAAAATACAATCACAGCACAAACTTGGCGCAAAGGAAGAAACGAAGCTACGGCCATGGCAGTATGCGACACGTGGACGCATAAATAGCATGTTGAATGGCTATGTCGGATAAACTGGAAGGTCGGATAAGCGAAGGTCGGATAATCCGGACTCTACTGTATTACATACGCATCCTATCCTATCCAGGACATAAATGTGCAGCAGCCCACCCAGCTGTGGCAGTGAAGTGGAACCTTGGAAATGACCACCTCTCTGCATACTGTGAGATTCTATTGCTCTTTTAGTAGTGGTTTCCTTATTGTTAGATCACTATAGTTACTGTAGTGTTGTTTAACTTAGGAGCCATTGAGAATGAAGATGATAATCTGGCCTTCATTTCCTTCGTCTAGTTGGTCACCAAAACTGTATGGAATTCATACAGAAATTATACATGGGTTACATCAAAATTTCAAATGTATGTAGCTCCATACAGATCTGAAACAATCTGCAATAAAAATATGAAATCAGATTGCATATAGATTGAAATAGCTATTAAATATGAATTTCACAGTCCTTAAAGACATTGTCACAAAAGGGTTCTGGTTTTCTATTTAGAAAGTATGATCAAGTTATATACAATTTCTCTAAATTATGTCACTCTCAAGCACTTGTCAGTTTGTAGTGTTTTTCTTAATGCAGATTCAGCATTGTTGCTATTTTCTATGATAGAAATCCCCGTTTTCTCTGAAAATGCTCATTGTTACTAATTCCTTTGTTAAATAAAGTGTATTGTGATCAGTGCTTTTTTTGTGACAGTACACCACCTATTTTGCCAGCATACCTTAATTAAATGGGATTCTTCTCTGGCATACCGGCGCCTGGGGCAGGTTGGCTCCCGATGGAAGCTCGCTCGGGACACGAGGTTCTTAAAGGGGCCGCGACTGCATTTCGGCCCTCGGCGCATTTTTTTTTTTCAACAACTTCAAGCCTGTAGTACTGGCACCTTTTTTCTTACAAAAAAAAAAGCACTGATTGTAATTGATAGTAATTGAACACAACCCTACCTCATTTGTTGACTGGCTGAAAGAGAACCAGCCTAGAGGAATGTCCTCACTACCTGCTTCTATCATCGGGTTTTGTTTCAGCCCAACAGGGAAAATAAAACCAACTAGAATGTAAGTGCAAACAAACAAGGTATTTATTTATTTATTTATTTATTTATTTATTGATGGCACAGGGGAATGTGACAGAGAAAAATAAGCAGATGATACCGATTTTACTCCCAAGAAACAAGAGAGCTCTTTTGATGGAAATGCTCCCAATAAACAAACAAACAAACAAAAAAAAAGACTTGGTGCCCATAGAGTGCTGTTAACATGAATGCCTCAAAATGCTTTATAAAGGGGACAAGGCATCATAACCTCCATTTTACAGTCAGACTCTAAGGTACTGGTTGAAGATGTCTCAGCTATTTAGGGTGTTTGAGGTGTAAGACTTTAAAGCAATGGTTCTTATCCAGGGTTCCAGGCATCCCAGCGAGCTGCAAGATTTCAGAGGGTTTGCCAAGCAAGGCTGCTATTATACTTGCTGTGGCCCAGAGTGAAAAGACAGAGATCCACTATATGGGGCTGAAACCTGGGGCCCCAAAGCCTGCCATCTGGGACTGAAGTCAAAGCATACACTACTTAGCTTCATGTTTCCTTCTGTCGTGTCGAGCCCCAGACAATTGTTCTGCTTGCTACTAATGCTGGTCCTGGCTTTTATACGCAGAAAACAGCTGTGGCAGAGGTGGGCCTGGTATAGCAAGGGAGGGGGGGAGCTCAGAAAGAAAAGCTTAAGAACCCCTGCTACACAGCATCCTCCCAAAGTCACTATGAACTTGCACAAATCTGAATCCTCATTGCTTGCTTCAATCATTGTATCAAGATGGGCTGAATGAAAAATGATAATGTAAAAATTATATTTATCAGTCAAAGGCAATACAAAAAATTACATGTCACCTGACACAAAGAGAAAAATCCATCTGAGACACGAGACCATGATAAGGTTGTCAGGAAGAAGGAAGGATGGCATTGGCAGCCTGCCAATTGTGGCTACAACCTTCAATTCACAATGTATTGTCATCAGCATACTGCTGATATTCCCAGTTCTCAATGATCCAGGTTATGTCTATTTCTTTAACAGATGACACACACATCTTCTTTAGAGTCCCTCTATTTTCTTCTTGCATGGCTGTGATACTTCTCTTCATCCCTGAAATAGAAACAAGCCATTGCATCTGATGTCATGTTAGGATCTCAGCACTGAACATATTACACCAACAATGATTAATTGACTGAACTTTCACTGATAAGAGACTGAACATAACAGAAGCTTGAAGTCTTTTAAAACTGAAAATATTAATATCTACACATTTCCTTCAGAATCTTGTCACTTCATTATCTTTTGAGGATTCAGCGCCAGTAAACTGGGGGTCGTTGCACAACCCTGCCCTCTGACAGAGCACAATGTTTCTTGTAAGAACATGAGACAAGCAGATGCTCTAGCATATGCCCCAAAGTATATGGTGAAACCATCTGTAGTTTTGTGAATCGATACATACTTGCTAGGAATTGTGCGCTACAATTCTCCCATTTATGTTATAAACCAATAGAAGGTCACAAATTGCTCGGGAGTCTGATTGCTTTTCATTACAGGGCAAGTTATTGCTGGAGGAGCCAACCCTGTAGTCCAGATCACTTGTGGTTTTTTGAAGATCCCATGGCAAATTCAGCCAGGCTATGACTCTGTGCATGCATATCTAGATTACCACATCCTGTCTCCATGAATTCTCCTGCATTTCCACTTGGATTGAGTATTATGTTCATGCACTAATCTCTGATGCACCATTGCATTTCACTAGTGACAATCATGACTAATTGGTACAGACAGGCAAACAATTGCTTAGAATAAATACTTGCCTCTCTCTCTTTCTCTTGGAATCCCTGTCTTTGCCTCTCTCTCGTCTTCTTTTGTGTTTGTCTGGACTTCTGCTGGGATTTCTCCTATGTCTAGCTCGATCAACATCTTTAGAGCTTCCACAAGACTGTCGAGAGTCTACGGATGCTGACCGTCTCTCGTTTCTGAAGGAAAAAAAGTCATTGATTTTGTTTAATAAATAGTTATACAAACACTGTAGTTACTGGAATATTTTCATCTCCATTTGTCTGCCTCTGGTAGGCAATGAAAAGGGGCAGTAATTGATTTTGTAGGATCACTTTCTTCTGTTTGACATAATAAGAACTTGGAATCGAGACATATTTAGCCGCTATTTTGGCTTCTCTTGATTGACAGGCAGCAATTTCTTCCCCAGCACAAAAAGGCTGAAACATGTTTGATTTGTTTATTATTTCAACCATGCAAGTCAAGAAATAAAAATTGGAAGCATCACCCAGTGATATAGACACACTTTCATATCACACAGGTAATAAAGTCTATTCCCACTTTTCTTTTTCAATACCCAAGTGAAGGATTACTGTTCTGTTAAGTATACGTAAGATACATTAGTAGTATAACACTTTTACTTTCATCTAACAAGTGCTTTTTTTGTTAAAAAAAATGCTGGAACTAGGTTTGCCAGATGCTTTAAAAAAAATTTGTTGAGCCAAAAATAATAATAATAATAATAAAAGCGGTCATGGCCCCTTTAATTGCCACGTCTGGCGCGGCGCCAGTGCCCTGCGGGGGGAAAGCGGCAAGTACTGTCACAAAAAAAGCACTGAATGGAACTGCATCAGAACGTACAGGGACAGAGTCAACTTGACATTAGTCGATATTTTTTAAAAAGAGTTCAAAATAGCTTAAGGTAGTACTCCAGTGCTTCACCTTCCCTCCAATATTTATGTTTTCACATTTTCACACATTTTTCTCTCCCTAGCTGCTTTGTAATGGTCTGAGACCTGTGGTTTCAGTGATGTACTAGAACTCAGGAGAGTTGTGTTCATGTCCTGGCTATGCCACAAACTGCCTATGACTTTAGGAACAAATTGCTTTGTTTCCGCATCTGCAAAATGGGGTTAAACACCTCTTTTTGCCTGTCCTTTGTCTTGTCTACATAAGATAAGCTCCTCAGTGCGAGGACTAGCTTAGTATGGATTTGTAACATTCAGTAAAGTGGGTCTATTTCTCAACTGGAGCTTCTACATACTACTAGAATACTATTAAGGTCACTATGGATTGACAATTGCCAGTGTCTCTGCAGAAAGAAAGCATTTTGGTGAGTGCAGTGATGTTCTTATTAATACCTTCCTGAAGATTTTCCTGAAGTGGAAGATTTTCCTCCTTCACACATCTCTGCAGTATCTGTTCTGCCTTCCTCTTGCCAGTGGCTGCTGAGTTCTTCCATGTGCACACCAATCACATCCCGGATGACCTAGGAAGAGATTAGTAAAATAAAAATTGAAGCTAAAGACTAGAAAAGCCCAATGCAAAAAATGAAGTCTGAGGTGGTGTTTTTAAATACACTTGATATTTGTAAGGAAAAACATTGGTTTGCTGAAATAAGAACTCCAAAGTAACTGTATTATACCTTGAAAGGATACTGTCAACATATAGGTTGCTGGAATTTTGCAACATACAAAACTCTATTAAAAGTAGTTGTGAGATATTCAGTAACTTGCAGTGAAAAAAAATTGTTTGAATCTGAAAACATTTGTCTGATGTTTCTGCAATCCCAAATAGCTAAGGCACAAGATATGGATACTGAAATTGACTGGTCTAGCCGAACTGTTCACGAATGAAATAGAAAAGTAAAAACCATGTTTGGCATTTTCAAGTTCTTTTATTTTTAAGTCTCAACTGTCAGTATGGCAACTGATGTAAGGAAAAATGCATTTTAAATATATATGGTTTTTAATCCTGCAGTGCCCCTTTAAGTAGTTTATGCAACTTTCAAATTGACAAAGCTTAAACTAGAGGATAGACACAAAGTGATATGAGGAAAGACTGAAAACAAAACATATGAGGAAAAAATATATTTTAAATCGTTAACATTTCTTTTTGAGATTTACAAAACTGCTAACACATTTACTAGTCCACATTTTCAGATTTGATTAAAAAAAACAAACCATTTTTTGCCTACACATTGTGGTTGAAATTATTTTTACTAATCTGAAGAGAATGTTAGAGAGTTTATACCATGGGGGAAAAAAACATTCTAATGCCTGCAAAGGCTTGGGATTCATCAAAAGCATTTGATGCTCACCTCAGTGTAAGATTTCTTTGTTATATGAACATTCTTAGCTCTGTATGACTGCCGTCGTCTTTTATAGTCCCGCATTTCTGCCAGGATTTCAAGATGGGACTTTGGACCTTTTTGACCATCATCTAATACAAATTAAAGATGAAACAAATGGCTAAACAAACTAAAAACAAAATTGTAGGGACATATCGGCACTTGAGAATACAAATTGGGCTATCTTATAATGGTGCTGTTTACATGACTAAAGGTAAGTTTGTGTCGAGTTCTTTTAACAGAGGTTTCTTTGGTAATTCATTTACAGCTTGACACAGGGTGTAGTGAAATTGAGAGAAAGCCAGAATAGATCTGCTTACACAGTAAAGACCAAAATCAACAATCCCCTCCCAAAAAAGACATTCAAGTAATCATGCAACATTATTACATGAATGCCAAGACACTGCAATACAGAGTAATGGCTTGAAATAAGTTATTTTTTAAAAAACCTTCCTAAATACTATTTTACAAATCACATTTTCAAAACACATATTACTAAAGTCTGGAAAACAGAGGGATCAGTCCAGCAAATATTAATGTTTGAGCCTTGCAGATTCTTTTGTTAGATTGGGCTCCAGAAAACAGGGCATTTTAACTTGAATATATATTGTGTATTTTACAGAATTGAAGGAATCCTGATCTGTCTCTCTCATTTATATATTTCTCAAGAATTTTCTTTGAACCAAAGGACTATCTATTATGCATCTCATCACATTTCTGTTCCGTGCTGCTTATATAGGCTTTCACTTGCAGAAATCTTGCAAAATTTTACATTCAGTTGTGAGCCACAGTAGTAGAAGCCTGTTGCAGCAGAAATGAAGGATGCCTCCTTCTGCTGAGATGCAGGCAATAGGCACAATGAAAGAAGAGCAGCAGAACTGTTTGAATAGAAAGCTGCCAGAACTGTAGGAGAAAAGGGAAAAGATACAACAGGTACACAATGAACACTGCATTACAGGATGTGAAGATATTTTACCTATGTCATAAATTATAGTTATTTAAAAACATGTACAACACAAGAAGAGAATTTGTCACCTGCTTTCTGGACAAGCATGTATCATTTTTGCCCTTTTCCTAGAGTAGTTTCCTATAGGTCGCCATTACATTTCAAAAGGGTCGCCAAGTGTCTCCCCAGGTGGCTCTGCTCCCCCCGTTTTAGAATTGCCTTGGGTTACCAAGTCTTCCTGAATTGTCAAAATGGGTCCCCATCTGGAAAAGGCTGGGAACCGCTATCCTTGAACCACAATTTTCTTTATATTTTATTCATTCAAACCTTAATAGATGTTCAACCAAATCCCTCTACAATGTGACAATATTTGAAGATGACACACTTTTAAGTTGTAAAACTCAAGAACTGGAATATTTTTCAAACCTTGCGTGACTTTAGCTGCCAAATCTACAAAGAGATCACTGTCATTTTCAGTGGTCTGCGATCTGGACCTTTGTTTCTTTGTCTCTTCAAGGACATAATCATAGATTGCAAGACGATCAGCTTGAGTCAGGTCACAGATGAAACGTTTGTGATTTTGGGGAACTTCAACAGGCAGTGATGAATAGGCACCTACAACTTGTGAACAAATAGACATGACTTCTATAAAATGGCAGTATTGCTATACAAAGAAACTTGTGGGGAGGAGCATACATACTCGCACTAAGAACTTGGACACTATTTACATGCTTTCCACTTGTGCAAGATAGACTTCTTTAGCTTTACTAGATTCTGATAGTTTAAAAAGTACTTTAGTTGGCCTAATTTTAGGAGACCACTGAAGTCTGTTTAATGAAATGATAACTCTGTAGCAGACTGTCATTAAATAGCCACTATGCTTCTATTTTGTTGGCTCCCCAGGTGTGTATTTGAGGAAGGTTAAGAGTTTTTGTGTCTCCTGCAGGGACTAATGTGGGCTATCTGTGGAGGAAGTGAGAGAATGCCCATAAAAAAGCATCCAGTCCACAACATAATTTCCTTTATGATGTTAGTAGTGACAGCCCACTAGCCTGCAAAAAAATGTTTTTGCACTGATCCAACAGTGCATATTTATTTTTAAATTTTTCCAAATTTCAGCTGCAAACAGCCAATATTCTATCAGAAATAATTAGAATCAACGCCTCTGTTTAATCAAATAGATAATGATCAATTGTCTGCTCTGAATGCTTTCAATGATGATCCAAGACAGTTACTTTCTACCTATTCACATTGCTATCAGTTTAAAAACCCTGAAGAGAAGTAATGTAACGTAGCTGAGTTTACCTGTAGGGCTGCTCAGCTAACACCCTCTTTTAAACAAGCCAACAAATATAGCTGTGGTTTTAAAGTACAGAAAATTCAAACTTCTGGGTACTACGACGACCTTATTTTGACAGCTACGCACCATAAAACTTCACATTTCTTGACGCCTGTGTATTAAAAACCTGGACTACAACATTGCTTTAGTGCATATCATTCACTATAGTGTACTTTATTTCTACAATGCACCCTTCTGCAAAAAAGTGCCATAAAATGCATTATAGACAGAAGTAATACCAAAGTTGATAGCAGACTGTCAAAATGGTCTAATATTGTAAAGGGCATATTAAAAGTCATATGCATTTTAGTAGAAAACATGATCATGACCATGTTTAAGTTTCTTTATTAACTGTGCACCTTGATCTAAACTGTTTTGATAGGATATATATTACTTCTCATGCATTTTAAATATAATTTCCCTTGTTTAAAGTACTTTTGCATTATCTATATAATTGTTTTCCATTTAAAATCCACAACAATAAAAAATAAACCATTGAAACAAATATCCTTCCAAGTCATAGAGAAAAGAATGTGTTACCAAATAAAACCCGATAATAAATTAAGAAGTTGTAAGGTGAATGCAGACAGTTTGGACAACGTTGGTTCTTTCTTCAGATCACTTCTTAAAAGCGCAAGAGCACAATGTTAAAATGGATGGTGAGATATAGCTGTGACACCAAGTGGTCCATAGATGTATTTTTGCATTACAGTACATGATACATGATGTTGGTTTATTTTCTTTTAAAATAACGCCAGTCCGGCATTAAAACAACCTTCTGAGCTTTGCAGGGCTAGATTTCCAGTCCTTAATAGAGCTCTTGGGTTGAACATGGAAGACTTGAACCCTCCCCAGGTCCCTGCCAAGGGAGGAGAACACAGTCATAGGGTGGTTTCCCAAGGGAGACTGGGAAAGAGGTGACTTGAGTGATTATGAATGGGAAGAGAGAAAAATTGGAGAACTCCTGGCTACCTGTATATTCTACTTACCTTCACTGTAGCTTCCACCTTCTTTTGTACTTAAAGCTTTAGCTTGTTTAATAATGTTAAATTGTAGCTCCTTATCTGAAGAAAAGGAAAACAGATTTTACAGAGCTCCTGCACCTGTGTACAAGTCCACTCTGAGTCACGTGCTAGATCTATGCTTTTAGCTGGTGAGGTTTAATTGGTGGGTAAGCAGTGATTATTGTACAGAAAGAATAATCATTTTCATCCTGAATTACTAATACTCAGACTCAGGAATTCTTTGACAGGAATAGAAGTTTTAACCAAATGTATTCTGGCTTTTAATAAGTTTGTTCTTACATCCATTCCATTTTATTTAGTCCAGAAAACCAAACAAAAACTAATCAATAAGATTTATATTTATTCGACAATTACTTGAATATGATATCAAGTTACTCCCTCCTCTGGCCCTGCTACTGTATTCTGTCTCCTCTGTGTCTGTCTTTAAGGTTCCAAACTCTTGAGAAGAGTCTGATGCTGTATGTCTTGTTTTAGTTATTAATAATAATTATTATTATGTGCTAGCAGATTTTTCAAACACTAGATATAAACATCTGTTAATTGTAACACTGCTATATAAAAAGGAACAAGTAACTGAAGATCACATTTTCATCTGCCTTAAAAGTGCCTTATTATCTTGGTGTGAATGACCTCTAAATTCCAGAAATTAAAGTGAACCCTCCCTCATGCAACCAAGGACCACTCCACACTAATTTTTTTCAAGACCTTATGTAGCACTGCAGTGAAAACACAAATCTCCCTTCAGATGCTCTACTACAGCAACTAAACACTACTCTTAGGGCTGAGTCAAACTGCAGAGTTGGGAGATGTGATCTACTGACATTATAGACAGTCCAGTGCACAAACAAGGAAGAAACAAAGTACAGTAAAACTCCAATGGTCCAGCATCTGACGGTCCGGCAGTCCTGATGGTCCGGCACCATCAGGAACCTGGAAGTGCTCCGGGCAGCCGGACGATTGGAGCTGCTCTGCCCCCAGCTTCCCCAATTCAGCCGCTGCTAAAACTGACCAGCGCTGAATCCGGGAAGCAGGGGGCAGAACAGCTGGGGTGCTGCCGGGTAGGTCCAGTAGCGCTGCCCCTCAGGGCTGCGGGACCAACCCAGCAGAACCCCAGCTGTCCTGGATTCAGCCGCTGCTG